CTGGAACTCCAACTGGCAGTCAAGACTGTTGGGAAAGAACAGCTTGGTCTTTGAGACAGACCAAGGGAGGTGTAGACAAGAGACAATGGAGAGAAGATACAGAGGTTGGTCTAGGGAAGTAACTTTGCTGATAGAGTTTAAAACATGCGTGAATTATTACTTTCTAGGGTATGAAGGAACACATCAAGATTAGTCTAAGGTTTTCATCAGAGCAATGTTGTGGAACATGTGGGAATTTACTCTAATGGGAAAGGTTGGGAAAATGTTCTGGTGAATTTTGAGTAAATCATCTCTTAAATAATTTTGTGAAGTTGTAAAAATTTGAATTCAGTCACAGTTGTAAACTGATATTTGATAGTGACTGAAATAGAGGTGCACAGAAGTCCTTTCCTCAGAATCATATTGCATAGGGACCAAGAGTGGAGAATGAAGAGAAGAAGAACAGAAACTAATGAGCTGTGATATTCAGAGTCACAAAGGCAATGAATAGTTTACCAGAGAAGAAATTAGAATGTTAGAAAATTCAGAAGTTCTGCATGTAACAACCAAGTGGTCCAGAGGAGAAAAAATGATTTTTGAAATGTGCCTAAATGAGGAAATAATATGACTTATGAATGACCATATTGATACAAAAAGGAATACAGTATGATACCCAATGTTAAGTTCATAGAAATTCATGCAGCATTGATAATGACATGGGTGGGTAATTGGGAAAGTAGGGGAAAAAGAGAAAAGGAGAAAGAACTGGGAGTGAATAGTGAAAACCAGTGTCTCTTGTTTACCAGTCTCCCAACAGTAGGGGTTAAAATCTTCAGTAAAAGGAGGCTATCTGGGCTAGGAACTCATAAAAGACTACAAAGAAAGGTGATATGGTTTGACATCCTTGGCTTCCAAGGAGATCATCTTTCCAATGGCAAAAGAATGAATAAGTAACTGTGAGCTATAGATTAGAGAAGCATAGAATGAAACTGGAAGTAAAGGCTAAAAAGCAATCAACATCTCAGAAAATTTCATGAGTTTGCAGGATAAATATTACCTGTAGAATTCTGTGTGTAGTCAGGAGATAACTAACACTCACACATAATGATAACAGTGATTATTGAAAATAGGGTTCTAAATCATGTTGAGGTTTTGACAACTGCAGGTTATGGAGCTAGATCGGGATATTCCCAAGAGTGTGCCACTATGTTGATGGCAATGTATGACTTAAGGGGTTTGACCTTGCAGTGGAAACTGAGGCAAACTCACAAATTGAGTATAAAGGGATTTGTTAATAACTTAGAAATACTAGGGTCCTTTGTCTGTCTATCTGATGAAATAATGAAGATGTAATTCCAAGGTTCAGTACTGTTCTAGACCACACTAAAGGATACTGCAACTGGTCCATGGCCTGCTGGTTAATGGTCCCTATGCTGTTGTAGATGAAGGTGCTGCTGAGGAGAACTGCCAAGGTAAAGATCCAGCAGTCATTCTGGTTGTCTCCCTGCAGGTCAGAGAGTGAAGAAGAGTTACTAAGAGACTGTCCATCATTTCAAGTAGCCAAAGATGAGCCTTTTTCTGTCCCCCACTAGCTGTGACATCGAAAGGAATTTCTTCTACATTATCATTTTCTACCTGAACAATGATTTTAAGAATGTTTAAGGATTAAAATAAGAAGATGCATACCCATGTAGATGAGATCATAAAAGGCATTCAGACTAAACGTCACTTTGATCATTGGCTAAATCTAAGCTGGACTGCTGGGTTTCACTCACAGAATATGTTATGGTAAGGGACTATATTAGTTAGGGTTTCCATTGCTGTGAGGAGACACCATGACCACTGCAACTCTTATAAAAGAAAACATTTAATTGGGTGGCTTAGAGTTCACAAGTTCAGTCCATTATCATCATGGAGAGATATTGCAAGATGCAGGTAGACCTGGTGCTAGGGAGGTAGCTGAGAGTTCTATATCTTACCCTGGCAACAGGAAGTGGTCTGTGACAATGAGCATGGCTTGTGCATAAATGAGACCTCAAAGCCCACCTCCACAGTGACATATTTCCTCTAACAAGGCCACACCAAATCAAAGAGCCACATCTTGTAATAGTGACATCCTCTTGGAGGGGCAATTTCTTTCAAAACACCACAGGGACATTTTAGCACTACTGAAAGTTAGGTCCTTTAATAGAGTTTTGTGTGTCTCAGACTGGCAAGAGTAGTGACCTGATCCTCCATGAAAAATGATGTAATTGCAAATTGTGGTGGTTTCTAAGAGCATGGCCTCCATAGGGTCATAAGTTTAAATGCTTAGTCACCATGGATGGATTCAGAGATGTGACCTAGCTGTGTCATGGGGGTGAGGATGGGGGTGGGTTTTGTGGTTTCAAAAACACAATGCAGGGCCAGTGTCTGCCTCTGTTTCTGTCTCTGTCTCACTCTTCTCCCTGTCTCTCTGTTTCTCTATTCCCCTGCTGCCTGTGGATCAGGATGTATCTCTCAACTACTCTTCCAGCAACATGCCTGCTATGCCTGTTTCCATGCTCCCTGTCATGATGATAATGGACTAAGCTTCTAAAACTGTAAGCAATACCTTAGTTAAATACCTCTTTAAAAAAAATGTTGCCCTACTCATGTTGTCTGTTCACAGAAATAAAGCACTCACCAAATCTTCTTTTTCTCTCACTGATAATGCTGTATAGAAGTTACAATTCTTAGCATTTTCACAGGTTTACACATAAAATCAGGCATGTTTAGAAAATGCATAGTGAATTTTGGAGACGCCACTAAAAGTCTCACCAAGCATTAGGAAAAATAGCAAAAAAATATTGTCAGTTATTATTATGAAGGCTGAATTGCTAATAATCAGTAGACTTCTGTGTTTATTCTTGGTTACTATGTCAGGTGAGCTGAAGAATGATACAGTAATTTGACT